TGGGTGCTATTACCACAGGCAATCTCCATTATGACTTTTGGATAACGACTGAAAAGAGCGAAGGATTTTTTGTTTTTAAATAATTTTGAATTTATATATATATATATAATGCAGAATTTTTTGTCTTGGACAAGCTAGCTTTAAAAGTTCAATAGCAAGTTTTGGTGTTAGTGGAAAACCAAGATATTTCGGTGAATCCAATGCATAGTACAGTTAGAATTGTAAGCAAAATAAAGATGACAGAAGACTATTTGATATACATGAGATTATCCCTCTTGTTATCAAAAAATAGTCAACCCAACTAAATAAAACCTCTTGTCCACATCAAACCATCAGGCAAACAACTCAGTAAAGTTATAAATGTTACAGAGGCATAATTCTGATGTAAAACAAATCAAAGCTTATCATACTTATTTAGCCCCTAACACTTTAAGTTCCAAGTTCCCATCAACTAATCAGATCTCACACAGCAGTGTATCTAAACTCAATTCCTAGTCATGTCTAGTTCTCTTTCACTCCAAAGAAATCAAGTCTTTTAAACCACTCTTCACCACTTCAATTTTTCAAATTATAAATGCCATTCTAATAGTTTTATCTCTGTACTCCTTCCAGCAATACCTCCAAAAGTAGAGAAATGAAACAACACACACACACAGAGAGCTTAATGAAGCTTTTATCAAAGCCTTATACAAGAAAAAATATATAATAAAATGTAATTTTTAATATTTATTTTCTTCATAGATGTATATTATACCTTACTTTCTAATCACAATGTAAATCTTGAAAGAATCTGCAAAAGAAAAAAATATATTGTGGAATAATTTTATTTTTGCTGGCCGATTCCCATATTTAAACAATATAATTTATATTTATTTTAACTAGACAAATTAAAATAATGATATAAAATTCTGTACAGGAGTTTTGAAGAATTTTTTCCCCATAATTACTTGACTGTCCATGGGAATTTTTAAATTAATTTTTAAGTAATAACGTTAATAGTTGTGACTTAAACATTAGAAATACCAAGTACATCTAGACCCAGATGACTTCTATGGTAGATTCAGGTACTTCATAGATGTAGTACCTTGTAGAAAAGTCATCTTACTCAGTGATGAGATAGACATTCATACACATAAACTATACATATAAATTTGAAGCACTTTTTGGATAGGATCGTAGAAACAGTTCAGGTGACACTTTTGCTGCTGTCACCTTGCTTGTTTTAATGAATTTGTTTCCTTCATTAAAACAAATAGTACCCATATGAGTGTTAAATAAACATACTTACACTTTGAAAACATTAATACTGATACTTGTTCAGAGAATTGTATGTTTACAAGTGTTCTTACCCAAAGTTCATTTTATGAGTAGTAAATCCAAGATATGAATCAAGAACTAAGCTAGTCACCAAGTCATCATTCACGCACAGTTCTTTAGCAGTCATCCGTGTAGAAGGCATTGTTTTAGCAAAACCTTTGACAACCATAATTATTTCTGTAAAAAGAAAAAATTATGTAAAATATTCAAGAATCTTTAATACAATATTGTATGCAAATTAATTTTTGAAACTAAACACCAATTTCATCTGAAAAAAACAAACAAAAAAAACTTCAAACTTTTATGTCTGTGAAAAAAGTACAAAAATGAAATAACCTGTAAATTTTGAAAATAAATAGAAATGTATAAACAAATCCCGACAAAGTTCTGAATGACCAAATCAATGGCTCCTCTCCACTTCTCACCCCACTTACCTCAGGGAGAATGTCAAGGATACTTATAGTTCGAAATGGTGTATTTAAGTGTATTACACTCATAAAAAGAAACCTATCATTCTATAGGTATTTGAAGAACTTGTAGCATTCTGCCACAATTCAATACTTATAGTTCTTTGATTTAGACATATATATGCTTTTTTACAAGCTAATTCAGTTTGTACTTGATAACGCCCTTACTAGCAAAACCATAGTAATAAAATGTGGAAAATTTGTGAAACATACAATTTTCTTTGTTTTCCTCAATTCTATAATTAAACTTTAAGTAAATAAGTAATTCCTGAACAGTGTATAAAATACATACGACTATTAAAAATCAAGAATGGTCTACATTCACATTTAGAGCTGGATGATTAACTCAATTACTTATGAGCAGAGCTGAAATTTTCAACTAAAAAGTGCCAATGCTCACATGTACATAAAATAAAGGATTTTACTCTTATGTACAATTTATAATATAAATTTGTAAACAAAATAATAATAATAAAACACATACAACCACGGTTTGGATGGGTTTATAGAAGCAAATATATTACAACAACTTATTATTACTGATCAATTATACAAATCATACAGCCACAAAAAGGCCACTCAATTGGTTTAATAATGATTGACTCTGAAGCTGCTAAATAATACCTCCTTAAGAACTAATGTCATTAGATCATTTACTGGCTCAGTTGAACAGTATTTAATAATTATTTAGCTTCCATGAGTCATGGCATGTCTGCTTTCTGACATTATGATGGAAGATATGGGTTGTACAAAAAGCCGATCAAGTAAGTCCTGGTATTAAGTACCAGCATTAAAATAGTCCCAGTACTGAGTACTGGCAGAGTTTCATCCCCTGCCTAGCAGTACTGATTACATTGATTAGTGTTACATTAAATAACGGGTTAATCACAACTGCAATTATGTTGATTAATTTTCTTGAAAAGAATCAACTAGTAAGTAAGTCCTGGTATTAAGTACCAGCATTAAAATAGTCCCAGTACTGAGTACTGGCAGAGTTTCATCCCCTGCCTAGCAGTACTGATTACATTGATTAGTGTTACATTAAATAACGGGTTAATCCCAACTGCAATTATGTTGATTAATTTTCTTGAAAAGAATCAACTAGTCAAAATCAGTGTTTTTGATTATTCCAAATAACCAAAATATTGCTTTATGATTTCTCATTTTTACTTTTGATTAATTCATTGTTGTTCAGCTTAATCTGTTTGAGTCAAGATTCACCAAAATAATCCACTAATCAAAATTAGTGTTTCTGATTATTCCAACTGTCCAAGTCTCATGTGAAAATAAAATAACCAATTAGTTGAACGTAATTGATTTATGAGTCTGCAATTAATCAATTATCAAATTCCACTAACTGTCCAGAGTTATACTTACATAAAAGACAATAATTATGAGCAGTTTTCACCAGAAGATAATTCCTTTCTTTTGTTTAACAGTGAATTAATTTAACTTCTAAAATATTTTTTAATTCATACATTACAAGCATATTGACAGATCGTAATCCTTCTAGCCATAAAAACTTGAAAGGGAAACTACTTTTATCTAAGATAAAACCTATATCTAGTGTTTCAAGTTTTGTTACATTGTTTGATGTGAAACTCATGTTCTTTATGAAAGGGAAAAAAATCTGACTTTTAAAACCTATCTAAAACATTTTGTTGAAGGGTATCACTATTTGTAATGCATGAGCTGGTTTTGTAGAAAGAACTGCCATTGCATGAATCACATGAAAAAAAAAGTACTCTATAAAAACGTTAGGTATGACGCATGCTTAAATTCTTCCCAAAGTTTACATTTAAGAGATTTTACCATTGACTACTTATTCACTGTTTTGTTTGTTTGTTCTTAAGCACAGAGCTACTTAATGGGCTATTTATGCTGTGCTCACTGCAGGTATTGAAACCTAATTTTTAGCATGAAAAGCCCACAGACTTGCAGCTGAGCCATAAGGGGGCTTATTCATTGTTAAGATGTGATCCAGCAACTGGGTTAATAATCTATCTGAAAGGAAATGAGTTAAAGTTATGAATTATAATACATAAATGAAATAGAAATATTGATAGAATTACCTCTTTGGCTTTGAAAAATGAAGTCATCCTACAGAATGTCTCCACATTATTTTGGGTTTGAGGTGATACAGATTTTCATTCTAATAAAAAAAAACATTTTATGCTTCAAAGATGTCATCTTAGAAGACTTACAGAGAACTCTTAAAAATAACTTCCACTTTAAAAACATTCTTCAACATTTTATCCTAGTTTTATGTACAGTAATCCCTTAATAATTCGGCATCCCTGAAAAATATTCAGGCTTTTTAACTATGCGAGAAGACTCCTTACAAATTCTCCCAAGCAACTGGAGGCAGTTGAGTGATTGCCTGATTTGAAACAGCACTATGTAACTTTGAGAGATAGCAGGGCAGATGTCACCAAGCATCAGCACAGCAATTACAAACAGGGTAATATATCCAATTTTTTTTAAACACCTGTCAAAAAAACAAACAAAAACCCAGATGAAATCTTCCTTCCACCAGTAGTGAAGTCTCCATAGGTCTGCCTGCTGCATCTGGATACTTCCTCAGACACCAATTATAGCAGTGCAAGCTTCCTTTGCATTATCCCAGAACTCCCATGACAGTTGATGCCTTCAGTGAATAATTTATTTTATTTAATTAAATAAATTAATCTTTAATTTTTAAGTGAATGATTTATTGTTTAAGTGACCATTCAAAATGTGTTTAATTTTTAATTGATAAAGTAGTGTTTAAGTAGTATACAGTATTTACCAAAGTGCGTTAAGTCCTCCTACAATCACCTCTGTCACCTACCACATGACACCACAAGCTTGAATCATCATCTTTCTTGTCATGCAGTGCTGTTAAGTGTTAATTTTTAATGTTTTCTTAATTTAATTTATTTTCAAACAACAGTAGTGTATAGTAGTTTATTTGGGCCAAAAAGAGTTGATTTGGGGTTGAGAGGAAGTTACCTTAATAACTCTGAATTTCTGATAACTCGACATGGCTTTAGTCCCATATGTTCCAAGTTATCGAGGGTTTACCATATTAACAGAGGACTTTACACATTAAAAAGTTAAAGGGCTATGGTCATTAATATATTTATAAGTTAGTTAACTGTTAATTCTTTACTTACAGCACCATGTAACAGTGATAACTTTGGATAGACTTATTAGTGAACTTTTGGTGGTGTTAGTCTATCCTTCCAACCAAATGGAAGATGCTTATAGGAATTTACATTAGTTTTTTTTTCTTTTCAATTTAGCATGTCCCACACCCTGTAAGTGATGTCTCTATTTATCACTGACACACTGGAAGAGTAGAGGATGGGTGTAAAGTGTGGGAGGAGGTAAAATATCTATCAGAAATACATTTTCAGTGTAGGAAAATGTTAACTTCTGATATGATACCTCCATACACATAATAGCTAGAATCCCATATTGCAAAGGTAGAGGGACTGGTGCAAAAATTAATTAGATGAGTAGCTTTGGAAGGTGCCTGAAGAAAACCCATGGAGTGAAATATCCTAATATATAGGGTCACATGTATGGGAGACTGCAGCCCATCAGTACCAGGTATACTCTTCCCCCTTGTAAAGATAACATGTTGTTACATTGGGTGGAAAAGATGCTAGTGAAATCAGTAATAGGACATGCCAGATGGTGTAGTGGCTAGGGCATATCAGACCATATTCGGTAGGTCAACTCCAGTCCAAAACCAGGCAGCATTAGGAATTTGTTTTACAGTCTGTTGTAGGAGGAGGGTTTCAGGATGCAGAAGGGAAAAAAAACAACTTACATTCTAACAACCCAGGCAGGGCACATATTTGCAGACCCAGTACACAACCAACACCAAGTAATAGTAGGAAGGGGAAATGCAAACATGGTGGTCAACTCCAGTCCAAAACTAGGTGCCATCGGGAATTTTCCTTACCATCCGCAGCACGAGGAGGGCCCATATCAACCAGATGTGTGAGGATTTATGTTGGCTAGTCCTATGTTAGTCCACCAGACTGCCCGACAACCAGACAGCAGTAGGAGGGAGGAAGCCAGCTGGAGGGGTGAACTGCATGTGGTGGATTCATCCAGTCCAAAACCAGGTGCCATCAGGAATTTGTCTTCTAACTCATGATTGGAGGAGAATACTCCCCATTTACACTGACAGAACACTACTGCGTTACTCTAAACTGAGTGGAAGTGGTCATACTCAGCAGAAAGCTACCATGGTCCACCATCCCAGCTGCTAAGAACTGGTAAGTGGCAAGGACTCCCGCATTCCACTGGAAGAGGGGGGAACAATGCAGTGGGGAGTCCACAGGAACACAACACTAAGGTGACCATGAAAACCCTATTTTGAAAAGCAGGCATGGGTGTTTTGGTAAGGGTGTTATTTATGAAACAAGATTTCATGAGGAACCCTCTAGCAGTCTAGTGAAACACTTCATCTCATCAGTAAATATTATAACCCTGCATACCTGAACAGGCAAAACTTGCCACTGAGTGGGATCCAGAGATGGATGATGGAAGTGAAGAGCCAGAGAGAGAGTAAGGAATCAGATTTGGTGAGGAGACTTGAAAGAGTCAATGTGAGTCTACATCCAATGAAGCATAGGCTAAATGGATGAGGTGCTGTAGCTATCCCTTGAGAGCAATAGGAGAAATCTCTCAGGGAGATGAGGAATTCCAAAGAATAAATAGATGGGAACATGAACCATGAACAGATGCAGAGCAGGTCAAAGAACAATTAACCGCATGGATGGGACAGGGAAAATGATTTGGAGCAGAATGAGAATAATATTTAGAAAAGGAAGGAAAAAATATGGGAAGCACATACACATCATATCTCCTATGGCCACAAGCAGAAAGTAAGAATTAGGACCTAAGTAAAACATGGTACAAGGAACAAGAGCCTAAAGAGTCAAAGAGAAGAAGGGTAAGGGCATTGAGAATAGTATTCAGGCCCAAATGAGAAAGGACTGCAAGATGAGGAGGACGAAGGTGGCAAACTGAACAGAAAAACATCAAAAAGACAAGAGAGAAGAATACATGACGATAATAGGAAAACCCAAAAGTATTAGGTAGAGCTACCTAGTAACCAGCCATGATTGAAAGCAATAAGCCTTGTTTGAACAACCAATAAAAAAACTTGGGAAAAATGGTGGATAGAAGGAAGGTAATGGATGAAAACACGAAACAAAAATCAACTATAGAATGTGCACCCTTGTCATGGATAGACAAGGAAGGAGGAAGAATGAACCAAACAAGAAAAAAGGAAGGCTTCACATAAAGAGAGCCTGGAATATCTCACAAGGGACCAGAGAAAATCCACATTTTAAGTAAGAGTGATGACACTGCTGGATGGGAGAAGGAGGAGTGAGTTTGAAGGAGTAGGGAGAGTGAAAGAGATTGAGGAAGAAAGGACTGGAGAAGGTGCAATAGAGGAAACCATGGCTGAGCTGGCCAGTAAGAAGTTATCAGGAGGACTCAACATGGAGTGTCCAGAATGAGGGAAAAAAGAAGGGAAAAGACGAGTAGGAGGGAAGACATGGAGGAAAGAGTTGGACCAGTCCTGACAGGATATGCCCCCAGTTAAAGCTGAAGGATGAGCAACAGGAGACCAGAAACAGAGAAGTAGGGTGTTGGGAAGAGTGGTAAAACATCATGAAGAAGAATGTCAGAGAAGAGGAGAGCAACTTCAACTCTGGAGGAACAAGTAATAGGTAATATCTTGGTATGCCTCGAGTGATGATCCATGACAAGACTCAGGGAACCAAGAATATAATAAGCTTTTAGACGTACTTGTATAGAATAGGCTCAGAAAAGGAGAATGATAGTGTGGAAACACGAAGAGAGAAATAGAGTCCCCCTGGTGATTGATAAAGGAGGCAACTGCAGAGTTTAGTGTATGTATCATCAAGACATGTCTACGAATCATCCTAAAAAAATTTGATGTACCACCAAAAGTTCTAAGAGATGGATTTGAAAGGACAATATGTTGTGGTACCAATTACCCAAACTCACATTAGAGTCATTACATACTCCCGTTCTAAACAAGATTACATCTGAAGGATACCTGGATGAGAGGAAGAGGAATACTCACTATGAAAGTAGTTTGATCAAGTCTTTGAGTAAAGAAGGAGGAAGCAGAATTGTTGAGGACAAGGTATCCCAAACAAGGAACAAGAGAATGTGCAATCCATTGTAGACATCACAAATGATCATGACCCAAGGGGATATTGGATTCCATGGAACCTCATGTCCTTAAAAGAGAGAGAACAACCCACACAAAGAGGGAAGGAGAAGATATAGCTTGGGAAACCTATCAATCCATGTCCCTCAAAAGAAGGGTAGAAGGCTGGGTCATGCAGACATACGAATGAAAAAACACCCAAATGAATAAGAAATGAAATGGGTGTGAGATAGGAGTCCTCCACGATGAACCAACCACCCAACCTAGATGTGCCACCTCCCAGAGGAGGATGAGAAGAGGGTGAGTGTAGAAGGCTTGTTGGGATACAGCCAAATGAGAAAAGAAGCATCCTAGATGTCCACTTTAGTTATCTCAAGACCTGGGGTGAAATACCAGCATGGTGAGAAATTCCCTGTGTGAAAGCAGGGATGAAGAGAAACTTACTAAGACATGAAAGATGAAAAAATTTGAAGAAAATCTGGAAAAAGGATGATAAACCCATCCAATAACAATTATAGCTATTAGGGCCAACACTACCATGGATCAATGTTGGCAAGAAACTAAATCCCTAGGAGGATGTAAAATATGGGAACAAGAGACATTGTAGGAGGAGAGGAAAAGATGAAGGGGAAGGCTATCTGAGAGAAATCCCAATACTCAAAACTTGGCCTTACACAGAGGGCAAAGGTACATAAATCAAATGAAACAGGTACTACTGATCCTGAGCCTATAGTAGAGTCACCACGAAGACTGAAAGCACCAAAGTGTATGACCAGTGGAAGGTTGGTTGGGAAGAAGAATGGGAAGTGGAGGCAGAGAAAGAGGGAAAGAAGGAGCACGGGAGACCCCAACATATAACGTCAGAGATACAAGAATACTAGTAAAATCATTCAGACAGATGAAAGGACCCAGAAGAAGGCATATGAGATATAAAGGAGGGAAAA